GAATTAAAGGCATAAGTTGAAATTTATTTTGTGATTTATTTCCATATGAGACTATTTAGATTTGGCTTGTATTGGGAAACAGTGTTAATTCTTAGGGGCTGAGATTTTACTGATTAAAAATTCTGTCAAAACATGCATTCAGTAAATTTTTGATTCCTTAACCTAAGTGGATGAGGATTCCTTGGATTGGATTGTAGATTTTTGAATCCTATTTTCCCTGCTGTATTTCTCTCACATCTCCAATATTTAGGAGAATTTGCTAATAAAAAAGGTAAGGTTTTGAGAACTTTAGTTAGCATGATTTTCCTCAGTCTTAGCTAAACATGAATGCATGTTTGCAATAGTTTAGTGAGACCGAGCTCTTACCATTTGAAGTGAGAATTGAATTTGAATCCTAGTTTTGTTCTTTGGTGAGTTACTTAAATTCTTTGGACCTTTGTTCTTTATCGGAAAAATGAAAATAATACTGCCACCTCATTGGATTATTGTGAATTTTAAATGAGTTAATACCCGTAAATTGTTCAGCACAGTCAAGACGCACTAGTAGATATTATTAGTGAAAAGCTGTTTATTTGTTGTGCAGCTGTGTTTTGAGGGGCAGGTAGGCCTGGTTCTCCTAGCTTCTTTCTCCTGTTGAATAATGCTTGCATGTTAAGGTCTAGGGGAACCTTTCAGATTATTTTTATGGTATAAATAGATGCTTTGGAGTCATTGGTAGGAATAAAAATACCTTGCGGCTTTTGGGGAGAAACTGTATATTTAAAAATAGGTTAGAAAGGCCAGATAACCAGAGGGCCACAATCCCTTTACCTCCAGATGACAGCTGCATGTCTTTTCAATAGATGAATCCATAAGAGTGGTCATTTTAGTATAGAAAGATGAATCCTAGGTTAAATGTATAAACTTCAATTACCAGAAGTTTGTTACTGTATTCTGAGTAATCAGTTAGACTGTGGGTTTTCATAAAACCTTGTAAAATTCTATCTGTATCTTGAGGAGGGAACCTCGATAATTTACATGATGACTGCGACCTCCTTAATTTTTTTATGGTGGAACATAGGAGAGGAAGTTGTTTATTATAGTACATATTTTTAGAAAATCACACTACAACTTACTGCAGTTTTGGTAAGAGAGGGAGGATCCTACTCTGTTAGAATAGTGATGAATTTTCCGTTGAGTTTAACTGTTTTCCTAATGCCTTGAAGGTAAATACTGGCATTTGCAGGTCACATGGTGCTGAAAATACCTTGAACTCAACACTAGCTAAGAGAAACTTTTCCTGTATGACCACTGCATTTTCCTTTTGGAATGAGTTATGGATGCAAGGTTTTGTTTTGTTTTCCCTTTTAGTAGTGTGATGGATTCTGGGTTTGGATATTTTTGTTGTTGTTGTTGTTCAGATGCTAATATCATGCAGTTAGGCAGAGTGAGACGTAGGTTCAACAAGGAGTAAAATAATGCATGTAATTGCAGCGAAAAGGTTTTGCTGTTTACTGTATTTTTTGTTTTGTCTGTTTTTTGTTCTTTCTTTTCCTTTTTTTTTTTTAATTTCAAGGACCCTAAACTACTGTCAATGGCATATTCAGCTGTTGGAAAACTCTCCAGGTGAGTAAACTCTTTTTTAGTGAGAGATACCCTGTTGGTAAACTGAGAATAATTATGTGGCATTTAATAATGGACGGAGAATACATTTGTTGTGATTCTGAGAGGAAATGCATTTAGTAGTCATAGGTTGTTTAGAAATGTCTTCTTTGTAGTAGAAAAAGATAGGAGACATTTTAATTTACATTTGAAGATATGTTACCATATTAAATGGGAGTCTTGTGATGAGATTTTGAACCGATTGTGTCATAGTGGGTTACTCTTTTTTTTTTTTTGTACCCTAGAGACATTTGATTGACCTTAAGTGTTTTTGTTGCTACTTCTACTAGTCTTTATAATCCCAGTAATTGAGGTTTTTCTAGTGATTCTCTTTTCCGATAGTGTTTATGCTTTTGAGTAGCCCTGTTTCCAAAGCCAGATTTTTTTTTTTTTTTTTGCTCAGTATGATTTCCTCATTCCAGTTCCTCCTGGTTTCATCTTCATTATATTTTAAAGCAGGGAGATAGAGGTGAAGCATCCTCAGTGGCACCATGTGTTGCTTCTGCCCCAGCGCAGGTTTTGTATTGGCCTGTATAGACTAGGTCTCGCTGTCCTGTATGGTACAGGGGAAGAAGCTTCAGGGTTCAGAAGAAAGCCACCCTGGATCAACTGATTCAGTGTAGGGTTGTTGGCAAACCTTGTCCCTTTTCTGTTGGCATGAAATCGCAAAGCCCCTTATTACAGTAGCCTTTAGTTTAAATTATAATTTAGTCTTAGCTATTTTTTTCATGTTAAAATCAGAAATGTTAACTGAATGCATGGAATGCTGTAGAGGGACTATCTGGAAAATATGTATAATAAGGGTTTTTTTGGATTAGAGAGTTGAATTAAATACTTACTTTTAAAATATTCGGCTTTTGGGAGAGGTAATCTAATGATGCTGACAATTGTGTTCAGAGTGAGTTCAGAACTCACTACGAGTTCAGAAAATTTGTGCTTAGTTTCACTTTCTCCCTTTTTCATCTCATGAAAATTTATTATTATAATAGTAATGATACTCTTATATTCTCTTACAGTCGAATGCCCCATTTATTCACTAAGGATATAGCTCTTGTGCAGCAGCTTTTTGAAGCCCTGTGTAAGGTAGGAAAAGAGCTGGTAAATGTATACTTTCTGTTTTGGATGCTCACCTGGAAACCCAACAGGGAGGGAAATGCTGTTTTTATCGTCTGTATAGGAAGAGCCCGAGACTCGACTTGCTATTCAAGAAGCATTATCTATGATGGTTGGAGCTTATAGCACTTTGGAAGGAGCACAGCGAACTCTCATGGAGGCACTTGTGGCTTCATACTTAATAAAGGTAGGTCTGTGTGAGCTATAATACCTGGTAGTATACACATTTCACATTTTTAAGAACAAAATTTGAATTGCTTTCTCCTTAACTGTTTTTGATAATTGAGAGGAATATTTGCTTTCACTTGGACTGTGATTTATGATCTGTTTTTAATTCTTCAAGGTGAAAATTTGATTTTAGGGAAGAATTAGTGGTAGTGATGTTTATGTTTAAAGCCTTTCATGTG